TTTTTGTGCACTGTTGATTATCCTGCATGGCTCTGCATTTTGATCAGAATATTTTAGTTAGCAACCTCCCACACACAATACATAAATTCTAAAAATACATATATATTTATTTGTATTCTGTTGTTCACATATATAGCACATACCATACCAGGTGTTTGACTGTCTAGAAGTTTTACACAAGCAAACATATTCTAGTTGACATGTTTATAAATAAAAAAATATAGTAATAAAAAATATATTGTTCCGATGTCGATCTTGCAGTGGATTAAAGAAAATGTTTGCTGGTTTTGCCAGTGACAATTACAAGACTTTTTGTATAGTTTTCCCCAACTCTATTTTTCTTTAAAAGAACCCCATATTATTTGTGACTGTCAGATACCAGCTGCAATAAATATTTTTATAGTGTTTTAGTGCTATCATTTGCTTGGTGTCTCATTACAAACAGTAATATTCTGCACAAATGTTTTTTAAAAAATTGTTGACACGGTGTATTCTGGCTGCATAAAATATTGGCCTCATAATTTAACCACATGCCTACCAGGCACTTTTAGTGCCTTCCTGCCCAAGCCAATTTTCAGCTTTCAGTGCTGTTGCACTTTGAGTGACAATTGCACAGTCATGCAACATTGTACCCATATGACATTTTTATCATTGTTTTCTCACAAATAGAGCTTTCTTTTGGTGGTAATTATTCAGCACTGGGATTTTTATTTTTTGCACTATAAACAAAAAAATTGCAAAACATTTTGAAAAAAAAAAGGTTTTTCTTTGTTTCTATTATAAAATTTTGCAAACAGGTAATTTTTCTCCTTCACTAATGTGCATTGATGAAGCTGCACTGATAGGCAGCACTGATGGGCACTGATAGGCAGCAAGGATGAGCACTGATAGGTGGCACAGATAGGCAGCACTGATGGGCACTGATAGGCTGCACTGATGAGGTGGCACTGATGAGGTGGCACTGGTGGACATTTATGAGGAGGCAGTGATGATGCTGCACTGATATGCAGAAATGATGGGCACTGATGGGCGACACTGATGGGCACTGACAGGTGGCACTGATGGCTACTGACAGGCGGCACTAATGGGCACTGATAGGCAGAACTTATGGACACTGATGGGTGGCACTGACTGGTGGAACTGACTGACAGCAGTGACTGATGGCACTGACTGGTGGCACTGCTGTGCAACACTGATGGGCAATGATGGGTGCAACTGATGGGGTGGCACTGCTGGGTAGCACTGATGGGCACTGGTAGGTGGCACTGCTGGGCACTGATGGGTGGCACTGCTGGGCATTGACGGGTGGCACTTATGAGCACTGACAGGTGGCACTGATAAGCACTAATAGGCGACACCGGGGGCGGACTGACAACTCATGGGGCCCCAAGGCAATAGGGGATCATGGGGCCCCGGTGTTCTTGCTCACACTCAAATCACACCCAAAAAAACATCCCGAGGGCCCCCTACTGACCCTGGGCCCTCGGGCAGTACCTGAGTTCCCCAATGGTCAGTCCGCCCCTGGGCGACACTTATGTGCATTGATGGGCGGCACTGACTGGCGGAACTGACTGGTGGCACTGATGGGCAGCACTGCTGGGCACTGATCGGCGCAACTGCTGGCCGGCACTGCTGGGCACTGCTGGGTGGCAATGATGAGAACTGCTGGGTGGCACTGCTAGGCACTGATGGGTGGCACTGGTGGGTGGCACTGCTGGGCACTGATGGGCAGCACTGATGATCAGGGCACTGATCATCAGTACCCTGATTATCAGTGTGGATGTCCTTTGTGACATTTCCAGTTATCAGCAGTACTTTCCTTACACTGTGACAGCGTGAGGAAAGTGCTGCTGATAACTGGAAACTGTATTTACTTTGTGATCTGCTGTGTCAATGGACACAACTGATCACATGGTAAAAGGACGCAGTGATTGGCCTTATACCTAGTCATGTGATCAGCTGTGTCTGTAGGACACAGCAATCACTGGCAACGCTGAATGCGCACCACTGGGGGCACGTAGGGGGCGTGTTCTAGGAGAACATTATATGACGCTCTCCCAGAACTGGACAACGTGCTGTAGCTGTCATTCGGCTATAGTGTGCGGTTGTAAAGTGGTTAATTGGTGAATATCACTTGTGTAGTACAAGTGATAATAGTCAATAGAAAAGAAAAGAAACTCCAATTTTCCAACATAGGAGACTGGAGTAGGGGGATTTAATGAGTGTCACTTAACACCAAAATAATAATTATCAGTGGGCAGTATAGCAGTAACTGACAATTATGCAGGAAGCACTGCTGCCACCTACTGAACATCTCTGTTTTTTATTTTTTTACTTTTAAAACCACTTAGCAACCAGGCTATAGCCGAATGATGGCTATAGTGCGGTTGTCCAGTTCTGGGAGGGCGTCATATGATGTCCTCCCAGAACGTGTCCTCCCGTGCACCCCCAGCGGCGATCACCCAGCGATCTCCTCGATCGCTGTGTCCTATGGACACAGCTGATGACATGATGTGGTAAAAGATCAATAACAGCAGCTTTTTACCACGTGATCAGCTGTGTCCAATGACAGTTGCCAGTTATCAGCTGCACTTTCCTCACGCTATCACAGCGTGAGGAAAGTACTGCTGATAACCAGCAATTATCATAAAACAATCAGCACTGATCATCAGTGCCCATCAGTGCCACCCATGCCCCAGCAGTGCCACCCACCAGTGCCCAGCAGTGCCACCCATCTATGCCCATCAGTGCCACCCACCAGTGCCCAGCAGTGCCACCCATCAGTGCCCATGCCACCCATCTATGCCACCCACCAGTGCCCAGCATTGCCACCCACCAGTGCCCATCAATGCCCCCCATCAGTGCCACCAGTCAGTGTCCAGCATTGTTGCCAGTCAGTGCCACCCATCAGTGCCTCCTATCAGTGCCAATCATTGCTGCATATCAGTGTAGCATCATCAGTGCCACCTACCAGTGCCCATCAGTGCTGCCTGTCCATGCCACCTCATCAGTGCTGCCTATCAGTGCCCATCAGTGCTGCCTATCAGTGCCCATCGGTGCTGCCTATCAGTGAGGCCTCATTAATGCACATCAGTGCAGGAGAAAAATTACCTGTTTGCAAAATTTTATAATAGAAACAAAGAAAAACTTTTTTTTTTTCAAATTTGTTGCTCTTTTTTTGTTTATAGCACAAAAAATAAAATACCCAGAGGTGATTAAATACCAGAAATAGAAAGCTCTATTTGTGTGAAAAAAATTATAAAAATGTCATATGGGTACAGTGTTGCATAACTGCGCAATTGTCTTTCAAAGTGCGACAGCGCTGAAAGCTGAAAATTGGCCTGGGCAGGAAGGGGGTATAAGTACCCAGTAGGCAAGTGGTTAAATTGCAAAATAACAATTTTTTCATTGTGGGACTGCTCCACAGCTGCGAGTTGAGCATTTGGCTTGTGATTAAATTCAATGGGTGCGTTTCACAGTCAGTGCCACCTGTCAAACTTTGCATCCGAGAAAAAAATGCCATAACCACAATGCAAAGCATTGCAGGCGAGCCAAGTGTACAGCCTTGTTGGGTCAGTAAAACCACAGCTCAGCTGAATGTGTTTTCTGACCTTTCGCCGATGTGAAATAATCCTATCTTCTCTTGTTTGCCCTTTTTGGTCTGATAAATACACATTTTAAAATATTTTATTACAGTAGTTAAATAGGTACAATAAATCACCTGTTGATTCTGCTACAAATCTATTTCTATTCAATGTCCAGTGTTCTCTGAAGTTTTATCTTAAAAATTTTATCAGGAAGTGTGTGTTAGGACATAACTTTTAAAATTATGGAGATGAGGGGAGGATAGGTGTTTTGTAATCCTAATACACTTCCTGTACAAGGATAACATTGCTTTTACTGGATGGAGTATAGAAAGTGTTGTTATTAGGTGTTTTGTAATCCTAATACACTTCCTGGATAACATTGCTTTTATGGATGGAGTATTAGAAAGTGTTGTCACTATGGAGATGAGGGGAGGATAGGTGTTTTGTAATCCTAATAAGATAACATTGCTTTTACTGGATGGAGTATGAAAGTGTTGTCACCTAAGGACAGGAATTGTGTTACTGGCAGGATTAGTAGGTGAAAACAAAGCAAACAAACCCTGAAAAATGAACACCACTACATGTAGGAATGATTAATGTGCAATATATAACAATTTTATTCTTAAAAGTAGATACTCTTTAAAGTGGTTGTAAACACCATTGTATTTATTTATGATATCAGAGAAGTGCAAGGAATACCAAAGACCATATACGTTTGCTTCGTTAACTACAGAAAAGCATTTGATTGTGTGGATCATTGTTGACTTTGTTTCAAATGGGAATACCTAAACACATAATCATGACTCTGACTCATTTGGTCAAGAGTCTGTACAAAAACCAAGAAGTGAGTACTGAATCAACAACACTGACTGGCTTCCAATAACACAAGGTAGCAGGCAGGGATACATTTTGTCACCTGACCTGTTCAACATGTGTGATGAAGCCATCTTCAAAAATGGAAATTTGGAAGAAAAGTCTTTCAGTATCAAAGTTGGTGGCTGAAATATAAACAAACTGGCTATGCAGACTACACAAAGCTCATCACCAGCAGCAAATAAGATATGATGTATTTACTGAGAAAAGTCAAAACCAAAAGTTGAAACATAGGATTAGAATTGAATATAAACAAGACAAAGATCATGAGCACAGAAAATGATGATTTTGAGCTTGTTGACAATAGAATAGAAGTTCTAACACATTTTAACCACTTGCCGCCCAGCCACCGCATATAAACGGTGGCAGGGCGGCGCTCGTAGGCAAAAGCACGTTTTAAAACGTGTGCCTACAAAACAGGCAGGGGGCGCGCGCGAGGCACGCGCTCGCCCTACCTGTCCCGCGGGTGTCAGCAGCGGGTCCCCGCCGCCGGGTCACGGCCGGTTTTTACCGGCCGTTTCCCGCGATGAGCGATGAACACTGACACAGAGCAGGGCTGCATTGTTTACACACAGCCTGCTCTGTGACAGTTCGCCGCCAAGCTGCAGAGGGAGAATACAGTTTTCTCTCCCTCGATCAGCTCCCCCCTCCCTCCCCCCATTCAGTACACACCCCCGCCCCTTAGTAAAACACTCCCCTCACAAAGTGAACACTAAAAATGTTAACCCCTTCCTCCCCAGTGATATTAGTACAGTTTCAGTGGTTTTTTTTCACTGATCACTGTATTGGTGTCACTGGGGATGTCAGTGACCCCAAGTCAGCTCCCCCCCAGTGTCAAAATGTCCGCCGCAGTCCCGCCATAAGTCGCTGGTTGCCGTCATATGTCGCTGATTGCCGCTATATGTCGCTGATCGGCGCCATTATTAGTATAAATAAAAATTAAAAATCCCAGTATCTTTCCCGCCATTTGTAAACGCTATAACTTTCACGTAAACCAATTAATTTACACGTATTGGTTTTTTTTAGCAAAGACGTCGCAGAATGCATTTTGGCAGAAATTTATGACTAAATTTGATTTTTGCATTATTTTTTACTGGACATGTTTTATAGCAAAAAGTCCAAAATATTGTTTTTTTTTTCCTCAAAATTGTCAGCCTTTTTTTTTTTATAGCGCAAAAAATAAAAACCGCACAGGCGATCAAATACCACCAAAAGAAAGCTCAATTTTTGGGGAAAAAAAGGATGTAAATTTCATTTATGTACCGTATTGCATGACCGTGCAATTGTCCGTTAAACTAGCGCAGCGCTGTATAGCAGAAAAATGGCGTAAATTGCAGTATTTATACCATAGTTTGTAGACGCTATAACTTCCACACAAAGCAATCAATATACACTTACTGGAATTTTTTTTACCAAAAACATGTAGCAGAATACATTTTGGCCTAAATTTATAACCAACTTTGAGTTTACTAAATATTTTTTATAGCTGAAAGTAAAAAATATTGTTTTTTCTTCAAAATTTTTGGCCTTTTTTTGTTTATAGCGTGAAAAATAAAAAGCGCACAGGTGATCAAATACCACCGAAAGAAAGCTCTATTTGTGTGAAAAAAAAGACGTAAATTTCGTTTGGGTGCAGCATTGCATGACCGCACAATTATCAGTTGAATTAGTGCAGCGCCGAGTAGCAAAAAGAGGCCTGGTCATTAAGGGGGGTAAATCCTCTGGAGCTCAAGTGGTTAATATCCTGGGCTCTTTCATAAACAAAGAAGCAACTAGTAGTGACAAAATACTCTGCAGAATAGCACTTGGTAGCCACACAATGAAGACTCTTGACAAAGTATTCAAAGGCAAAGAAATTATACTCAAAATGAGGATCAGACTTGTCCATGCACTCATCTTCTCATTTGTCAGTTATAGCTGTAAAAGCTGGATACAATGAAAACAGTATGGAAAGAAAATCCATTAATTTTGGTGCTGGAGAATGATTTTATTCATGCCATGGACAGCCCATAGAACTAAAGTTTCAGTTTTGAAAGAGATCAAGCCTTCTATGTCACTAGAAGCCCAAATTATGAAGTTGTGAGTGTTCTATTTTGGTCACACTGTTAGAAGAGAGGGATCATTTGGGAAGAAAATAATGTTTTTTAACCACTTCCCGACCGGCCGTTGCATATAAACGGCCGGACGGTGGCAGTGCAGGGTCGGGTGGCTGTTTATAAACGGCCTCTCCACACCCTGCTTGTGCGCGCTCCCTTGGAGCACGCAGCACCGCGATCCGGTGCCCGCTGTGTCCTCCGGACACAGTGAAACACCGATCGTCGGACGGGACCTCTGTACGAGGTCCTGATCATGTGATCACTGATTGGCCAATCAGTGATCACATGCAAAATAGTAAGTAGGATGTCACTTGTGACATCATTGCTTACTACGTGTGAAATCTGTGAATGATCACAGAGGTCACATGGTACAAGGCTATTCACAACAGCCTTGTACCATGTGACAAGCTGTGACCAATCACAGCTCACGTAATACTTCTCAATGAGTGCAAGAATGCACACAGAGAAAGAGAAATGATTGCTTTTACATCCTATATGGGTGTAACAGCAACGTGTAAAAAAACAAAAAAAAATCTTCATCAGCCCCCACAAGTATTACAGTGTCACCATGGTGACACTGTACTGCTAGGGTGACAGTATGTAACAAAAAAATAAATAAATAAAAAGATAATATAAAAAAATAAAATAAAAATGTAAAAAAAAATGTTTAAAAATTTTAATTTTTGGTTATAAACTAATTTGGATTTTTTTTTTACTAAAAAGATAATGGAATACATTTTGTCAAAGATTTATGATGAAATATTATTTATTTGCAAAATTTTATAAAAAAAAACACTTTTTTTCTAAAGTTTTGGACATTTTCATTTACATAGCAAAAAAAATAAAAATCCCAGCGGTGAATAAATACCACCAAAATAAAGCTTTATCTGTCTAAAAAAAAATGGTAAAAAATTAATTTGGGTACAGTGTTGCATGACCGCGCAATTGTCATTCAAAGTGGGATAGCGCTGAAAGCTGAAAATGGCCCTGGTCAGGAAGGGGGTAAAAGTGTCCGGTCTGGAAGTGGTTAAGAAGATCAAAGGCACCAGGTGAAGAAGGAGACCAGCTAATAGATGGTTGGACACATTGACTACAGCTGGTGGATGACACTGGGAGATCTCACCAGACTAGCACAAAAACCGACTTCTTTTAAGAACTTTCATTCATCAAGTCCTAGGAGTTGATGACACTTAAAAAATCCACTGCTTGGATGCTTGTGCCTACAGGAAAGCTTAAAATAAAGGCTCATTCTGTCCCTTCAGAGCTCTGCCTCAGCTGTGACTCCTGTGCGCATGCGCAGGAGTGACTTTATTGTGGCTCAACCATTCAAATGTCTAGAGCCTGCAAACTCGAAATGAAGACTGCATAAAGATGGAAGCCCTATCAGCAGTGACAACATGCTGCTGGAGAGATTTGTTTTATGCGGTTCATGCTAGCACATCATGCTCTTAAATTGCAGGATGAAGTTTTTATTTTTTTCTATGCCGACTTTACTACCACTTTAATAGTTCAACTTAGGCATTAGGTGGTTGTTAGATTATTTAGGTCTTAAGAATTATATTTCCTGGGTTTTAATATATCAGCAGGAATAATAAAAGGTTTGCTGCAATCAAAATTCAGTTAAATTATTGTAACTAAAAAGTTGTCATAATAGCCTGAAAAGGACTCTCATTATCACAATCATAAAAGTAATATATTTGATGGCGTGGTTTGAAGCCATGGTACTAATCAGTTCTTCTTTTTCTTATCCCTTCCAAGTATTCATCAACAGAATACGCATTTATGTTTATCTAATTCTCCTTCAGTTTACAGAAACATGGCTTCTGTTGTAGGAAAATGAGGCATTCATGTTGGATGCTTAAGTTTTCTTCCCAATGTAAGCATGTTATTGTTAAAAACAGTAATTTATAAAAAATGTGTTTCAAGTAATAGTTCATTAATTACTTTTGCCAAAATTGTGCCTATATATTACAATGTCTTTGGTACATTAATATGCAGTGCTCTATTTAGAAAAATGATGCTTACTTTTTACTCCTGCCTATTCCATGGTCCTCTCCTTTCCATCCTACAGATGTCATACTGAATGTTGGATGTATGGTCCTGAAATCTTATGAACAAGCACTCATTCCCGACCCATGAAATGCAGTCTGCTCTTTGTTTTGTTAGAGTGAAAGAATGTTAAATGCACATGTGTGGGTAGAGAAAAAAGCCAAAATTGTGATTTTCTGGGACCGCACATCCAAGGTTTGGTATGAACTGCCATCTGCAGAGCTGATAGGGGAGGGCAATGGAATAATCAGCTTACCATGTAAACATTCTTTTACTAAAAGGATCACTGCATATTAATGTACTGAGAATGTTATAATGCATAGACATGTATTTGGCAAACATCATCAAAGGTGAACTAACCCCTTAATGTGATTGGCATTTGAATTCAATTAAAAGGTAGGCAGACAGTAAAATTCAAACACCAGCCACAGCAGATCAAGTCGATTGGTACTGGGCCTCTGTGATTGACTCAGGCACCATATGATCGCCGTGACCAATCACAGCGATTACATGTTCACCAGTAAGCAACTGTCACAAATGGATTTCATTCAATACATCTTGCTTACTATTGTGATCTTGTGAATGGGCACAGTGATCACATAGTATACAGAGCTAATTGTAGCAGCCCTGTACCATGTGATATATGTGAGCAATCATAACATCACAATAGCAAAAAACAAAGCCATTCATGACAGTTAAAATGATTGTTGTTACAGTGATCATCGCTGTAACAAGCAATTTCAGTGTAAACCCCCCCAAAAAAACAAACAGATAAAATTACCCCCCCCCCCCACTCGAGAGTAGTATAGTGTCACTATGGTCACATCACACTACTTTGGTGACAGTATGAAAAAAAATTGTACACAATTAGGGAATACATATTTTTTAATATACTGTTACCAGTTAGTGTATCTAATCACTGCCACACCAAAGTGTCCCTGGTCAGTGCCGTACCAGCTGCAGTATTCTTGATCACAATCACCGCAGTCACAGCGTCCATGATCACCACCACAGGAGTCACAGCGTCCCTGATCACCGTCACTGCAGTCACAGTGTCCCTGACACTGCCACAGAAGTCACAGTGTCTAAGATCACTGCCACAGCAGTCACAGTGGACCTGTTCACATGTGTGATGCTCTCTCAGGAGAAATACATGTTTGAATTGCTCTTGAGAGAGCATTTTACAGGCAGTTAGGAGTCACTGTGTTGCCTCCTCATCACCAACTTTAACTCTTTGGACCCGACACAAGCAAACCCCATTCACTTGAATGGGCCATGGTCGGTGGGAGTACAGGGGGTATAATTACTGCCACAAAATCATAGCAGGCACCACATGTGTATATCCCTGGCTCCTGCCTCTGCAGCTAAAGGGGATAGCAGTTGAAAGGGGGTAAAACTGCAGCTCAGTCAGGAGCTTTTACTTCCCCCAAACCTAAAGTGTGAATTAGCCCTAATAGTGCAGCCAGTCACAGTTCTCCGATCACCACCACACCAGCCACAGTGTCACCAGACCAGTCTAGTTAGAATCAGTGTTCCTGATTACCACCATACCAGACTAGTGCCACAAGCAATAGTTTCCCTGACCACCACCACACCAGTCCCAGGGTTAATAGACCAGTGTTTGCCAGCAGCACTGTTCCTCATAACCACTACAGCAGTGCAGGGTTGCCTCTGCCTTCCACCTGTACTAACCTTAACTTGTTTATTGACCACATTTCTGGCTGTTGCTTGGACTGATCCTTTGCCTGTTTACTGACCATGTCTCTGTCTGCGCCTGAACGGACCCATCTGCACATTCTGCTGACCACATTCCCGTGAGACACCAGTTCCACTCATCCCCTGTGGATAACTACATTCCTGGAACCAATGGAACCTTTTGGCTCTTTCCTTCTATAGTCTACTGTGTTTCCTGGCCATTGAATATTTCATTCCTGGGGGCACCCATGTGCCAGTAGGCTAGGCTTGCTTGGCTTATAGGAACTGGGACTGCTATAGATGATGCTACATTAAGCTATATTCCCTGATCAATTATATAGAGGTGACCATTACAGTACATTGATTTAGATACAAATGGTTGATCTGTGTAATATATAGGATATAATGTCCAGTATATAATCAATATAAAAACATTGAAAAAGTCTCACGCATGTGGTATCACCATTCTCAGAAAGAGTAGCAGAATGTGTTTTGAGTTATAATCCTAAATATGTTTATGCTGTGTGTGAGAAATACCTTTTTAAATGACAACTTTGAGTAAAATAAATAATTTTCATTTTTTAATTCCATATTGTCTAAAAACGTTTGGCAAAAAAGTCTTTAAAAGACTCAGTGTGCCTGAAGGTAACCCTATGATTTTAGGCTTCTGCGTGATGCCAGGCTGTGAAAAGTCCCACACGTGTGATATTACCATACTCGGGAGAAGTAGCAGAATGTTTTTTGAGGTGTAATTCTAAGTATACCTATGATGTGTGTTAGACATATCTTATTAATTGACAACTTTGTGTAAAAATAATAATGTTCCTTTTATTTCCTGCATTTTCCAAAAACCTATGGCATTTTCAAAAGACTCATCATGCCTTTCAGAAAACATGTCAATATATTTGCTTTCCAAATTGGGATAATTTTGTGAGTGTCTCTGCTGTCATGGTGCTCCAGGGTCTCCAAAAATTTGATATGTAATCCCAAAAGTGCTCCTTGTATTTTGGACCCTTTCATGCATCTAGACTGTGAAAAGGTCTCACACATGTGGTATCCCTATACTTGGAGATCTCACACATGTGGTATCCCTATACTAGGGAGGCATAGCAGAATATATTTTATGTTGTAATTATAAGCATGTCTACGCTGTGTGTGAAATATAACTTGTTAAAATGACAACTTTGTGAGAAGAAAAAAAAACACATTTTATTTAATTCCTTCAATTTAAACAAAATTGTGACAAAAAAGTACAACTTCCAAAAGTTTACCATACCTCTTACTAAACACATTGGATGGTATACTTTCCAAAAACGGGTCATTTGGGGGGTATCTGTACTGTCTTGGCATTTTTTGGGCTGCTGGATAAGCAGTAAGTACATCAGGATTAATCAATTTTCAAAATATATATGATAGTTTGCAGACTCTTCACATAGAGTAAATAATATACACTGATTTGGATTACTTTTACCAAAGAAATGTAGCAGAATATACTTGGGCTTAAATTTATGAAGAAAGATTATTTATTTGCAAAATTTTATAACAGAAACCAAGGAAAAAGTGTTTTTTTTTCCTCAAAATGTTTTGTATTTTTTCATTTATATAGCAAAAAAAAGAAAAAATTTAAAAAAGAGTGGTGATTAGATACCACCAAAAGAAAACTCTATTTGTATTAAAAAAAATATATATAA